ACCCAGCCCTCTCCCGTGTTTCTGAGCCTGTCCGCTGACATCACAGAGGAGACCGCGGCCTCGGCGGAACGCCGTGACCCAGCGTCACAGAGCTCATCGTGACGTCACTGGGAGCCAGGGCAGCCTTATTCTTTCCCGTGTTAAAGCCAGCAGTGACATCACAGCACTTCCCAGAGCACCCTATCCGACACTGCACTCGGCTTAAAAGGATTCCTATCTTCCTACATCCTCTGGCACCTTCCACAGGCTTAGCATGTAATAGGCTCCCAAATATTTATGAATGAATGAATGCTAAGCAGGGCAAGGGATCTGGTCTCTTTTGCTTTGCAAACCCTTCAGGCCCCTCCTCTCATCCTAGTCAAGAGGCCTTGAGAACTCTGACATCAGGGGATCTGTGGGTCTCAGACCTATATTCGCCAGGGGTCTGTGGGGTGAAAATTCAGTACCCGCCCACCAATCATCATACCCACGCGAATCGCAGGGAAGGGAATGGGGAAATCACAGATGGCCACAGCCAAGAGACCAGAGGTTCACAGACTCCTGTGCAGCAGCGGATAGAGATTCAGGTTCCCAGGTGCACCCTGAGATTCTGCTTCAGCATCTCTAGAGTGGATAAAATGCAGGAATGTGCATTTTTATTTTTAAAATATTTTTTATTGATCTCAGAGAGGAAGAGAGAGGTAGAAACATCAACGATGAGAGAGAATCATTGATCGACTGCCTCCTGCATGCCCCACACTGGGGGTCAAGCCTGCAACCCGAGCGTGTGCCCTGAGTGGGAATTGAACCATGTGAACTCCTGGTATGTAGTTCTACGCTCAACCACTGAGCCATGCCGGCTGGGCAGGAATATGCATTTTTAATGGCCACATGTGTGGTCCTGATTAAGGCCATGCTTTGCAAGCAATTCAGTGAATCCTGTGCACGTTGCACAGCTAGGCACACAGGTCCAGAGAGGGGAAAGGACCTGCCTAAAACCACACAGTGGGTGATAGAGATTAGAATTTCAAAACCCAGTACTCTTTCCACTACATCCCATCTTCTTTGGAATATTAGAAAGTGGAAGTGGCAGTTCTTAGAGGGGTTGAGGCCGAGAGAGGGTCTAATCTTATCTGCTGCAGCTGTCCCATACATACCTTACACGAAGGCCAAACTGAACAAATCACAAATCCAGGAACACACCCTGCATTCCTCCGCACTGCCTGGATAGCCATCCCTGCTCAACTCCTGTCCTCAACGCCCGTTTTAAAGGCTCCCTCCCCAGGGAAGCCCCTCTGGCCTCCCTCCTCCAAGCCACCCAGCCTGACTTGTTTCTGTTCTGATGGGGATTGCAGTCTTTCTAGGTCAGTGGTCGGCAAACTGCGGCCCCTTGAGTGTGGCTCTTGCACAAAATACCACGTGCGGGTGCGCACGTACAGTGCGATTGAAACTTCGTGGCCACACTCAAGGGGCCAAAGAGCCGCATGTGGCTCTCGAGCCGCAGTTTGCCGACCACTGTAATTTAGGCTATGTTTGATGTTGGAGTCCACAAAGCTACTGGAAGACAGAGAACCTGCCCAATTCATCTCTGGCTGCAAACCCTTTCCCTCGGGGTGTCATAGCACAAGTCCTGCCCATAGGAGGTGCCATGAAGTAGAATGATTAGGTGGATGGCCATGAAATACACTCAGAACATAGTTATTGTCACCCACTGGTTCAAGACTACAAGATACATTAATTCCTTCATACATTTAGTAAAAGTACTACACATCTGTTTAGGGGTTATTGTCCTAAGCTAGGAGTTCTATGTCCAGAAAAATGCACATGTGCTCAATATTTTACAGAGAATTTTAAGAGTTTGCTGACTCCCTGGAGCTCATCTATAGTCCCACTAGTAAACCTCAAGAACCTCTGGCTTCTGGTCAAGAAGTGCTTTTGCACCTGTTATGTGCAAGCTAAGGACATATTCAATCACTTATTAATTCAATAAATGTGTTGAGTGCCTACAGTACTAATGCTGGGGGCTACAGGATTCATCTATTAACCCACCCGTTTATTCAGCCAATTTGTATTGATTTTTAGAGAGAGAGGAAAAGGGAGGGAGAGAGAAACATCAATGAGGGAGAAATACTGATTGGCTGCCTCCTGCACACCCCTTACTGCGGATCCAGCCCACAACCCGGGCATATACCCTGACCAGGAATCAAATCAGTGACCTCTTGGTGCATGGGTCAATGCTCAATCACTGAGTCACACCGGCCAGGCTCAGTCAGTGTTTTGAGGGTCTACAATGTAACCAGAGAATGAGCTTGGCATTGAGGACAGAGAGGTGAACGAGGCACTAACTACATGAGGTCCCATGCCCTGAAGGCCACATAGGCTAGCTGGGCCAAACCACGGTGCTATCTTCTCCCTTTGCCTCCATCTCCACTGGGTCCCAGCTCCCGCCACACAAGAATGCAGGACGGAGGCTGAAGGTGGTGCAGGGAGGGAGGACTGAGCTGACCAGAGGGACCTTACACCCATCTCTCAGTCCTCCCACTCCTTCCCCACCTATGACCCCCAAGCCTGCTGTCGGTGTGTTTGACTAAAGGGCAGGGATTGCTGAAACCTGCTGGGTGAGTCCAGTGACTCAGAGGCGATTCAGGTGTGTGGGAAGGTGGGCAGGAGGGTAGAGGTAGAGCCAGTGGCCCTGGGACGATGGCTCTGACTGTGCGTGTGCGGCGACTGACGGGGCTGCCGGGAACTCATGACCGACAAGTGAGGCTCAGCTTTCGGGGTGAGGCTTGCAGGGGTGTGCTAAGGATTTTTGGAACTGGAAAGCTCTATTCCCATGGCCCCCAGACCCATCCCTGGGTATCTCTATAGCCTGTTCCCTGTCTTCTTTGTCCATACCCAACTCTGTGCCTCAATCCCTCTCTATCTTCTACCTTTCTTTAAAAGTGAGTCCAGGGGGACTGGACTCTGGGCCAAGGGGTGTGTGTGTGTGTGTGTGTGTGTGTGTGTGTGTGTGATTTTTTTCATGGGGAGGGGGTGGTAAATGACTACATTCAATCAATAGCAGGTTTTACCCAGAAAACAAGGAGAATTCACTGTGGCCAAGAAGCAGATATCGGTGAGGTCAGTGAGGTTGAGTCCTGGATGGGGAAAAGCTGGTCTGTGCCCCATCTAAGTCCATCCTGGGGTTGGAGGGTTCATTCCTGGGTTTTGAGAGGTATGGTCTCAAGAGGTGGGGTCAGTCTCAAGCTTGAAAGGTCAGACCCAGCTTGAGACAAATCAGAATTAAGATGAGGGATTTTGATTGATCGTTTTCCCAGATCAGCCTAGTTTGGAATCAACCCCATGTTGGGGCCGGGGAGGGGGTGGTGGTGGTGGAGATTCCAGGTTTGAAAGATCAGTTATAGGTTGGCTTCAAGTTTGGAGGGTTGGCTCCTGTTTCAAGATTGGGTACAGGCTCTGGACTGGGGGTAAGGGTCAGCCCAGCTTTGGGTGTCATAAGGTTCCTCCTATTCCCAGCTGTTCCGTTGGCCACACTATGGGGCTCCGCTGGCTGGGGAGTGTCTGTCTGTGCAGGTGGTCAACTGCAGCCGTGTGTTCAGCTCCAGGTGAGTAGGTCTCGGGAAGTCAAGGATGCAGGTGGGGCTGGGGGTGGCTTGGGGCCATTCTCCGGGTTACTCTTCTGCTCCATGCCACACCCACAGGTCTCTGGGGACCCTGGTGATTTCCTTACAGCAGCTACAGATCACTGGGCATTTGGTGCTGCAGGAGGCCCTAGTGGATAAGAATCTGCAAGTGTCCCCGGTGAGTCCCACCAGCCCCTAGCCTGCCACCCCCAAGCCTCAGAGTCCCTCTAAATCAGCGGTTCTCAACCTGTGGGTCGCGACCCCTTTGGCGGTCGAATGACCCTTTCACAGGGGTCGCCTAAGACCATCCTGCATATCAGATATTTACATTACAATTCATAACAGTAGCAACATTACAGTTATGAAGTAGCAACGAAAATAATTCTATGGTTGGGTCACAACATGAGGAACTGTATTTAAAGGGCCAGAAGGTTGAGAACCACTGCATAGAAGATTACATTTCTCAGAGGGGAAAAATTAGACCCAGACAGAAGTGGTAAACCCCCTCCCCCACAGACAGGGCTCCTTTCATTGCAGCCCCTGCTGAAGTCTCACGTGGGCTCTGAGGGTCAGGGATGTGACAATGGGGAAAGGTAAGAAGTACTGTGCTGCTCCCTGCCCCAGGCACAAGTCTTGCGGGAGACAAAGATAAAGTTGGCTAGATTTTCCTGGTGTGTCATGGGGGTCAGTAGAGCCTGGTAGAAATGGACCTGGGTTCAAATATCAGATCTACCATTTCCCAGCTGAGAACTTGAACAAGTGATTTAATTTTCCTAGGCTGTTTCCTCATTTACATTCTGTGGAATCATACAAAATGAGCTTTTCATTCAGTCTGTCATTTGTTGAACTGTCATCATAAGCCAAGTGCTGAGCTGACCAATGAGGACTGAGTGGTGAACAAAGCCAGATAATTTGCTCTCTTAGAGCTCCGTAGCTAAAAGAGAGGCAAATATTAAACAAATATCCACACAAATAAGTGTAAAATTGTCACTGGCCAGTCTTATAAAAGAGCTGGTAGAGGGCTTGGAGAGTGTATAACAGAGGGATGTGGTCTATTTGGGGGTCAGAATAGGTTCCCTGAGGAAGTAGTGCTTGAGCTTGGGAATGAAGGATGATAGGAGTTAACTCAGAGGAGAGATTGTTCCAGGCAGGAGAACTGGCATGGGCAAAAGCCTAGTGCCCTGACAATACATAACTGGAGGGCAGGGCAGGAGCAGATCCCTAAGAGATGGGGCTGAAAAGGTTTGCATAGGCCAGACCATGCTCAGCTGTGAAGGCCACAGTAATGGATTTCCAAGGGCAATCAGAGAATTTTGGAGTCCTGTTTGGCCCCTTCAAGAGATAACTTGCACATGGTAAGTTCTTAATAGGTTGTGAGTAGTCAATATTAGTAATGGTCAGAGAGGAATTACAAGTCACCACAGATGCAGGCCAGGAGGGTCTTTGTTTTTAGGTGGAGTACAAGGCATTGTCCTTGGGCTTCTCTTAGCCCCATGGCAGTTTGAGGGGCCCTGGGGCACACTGTGTATCTGGTTGCAGATCCAGGTGGAGCTTGACCTGAAGTACCAGCCCCCTGAGGGTGCAACAGGAGCCTGGGCAGAGGAAGACTTTGGGGCACCCACTCAGGACAGGTAAATCATTACCCTCCAAACCCAAGCAAGACCTGGTGGTCCCCACCCAGGCAGGCCTTGGGGAGGGAGACGTGGTACCCAGTTCCACTCTGGCTCTGCTGGATATGGTGACCTGGCACTCATGCTGCCCAGTTTGCAGCTCTGTAGTCAGGCCTGGCCCTTTCATTTCCTTCATTTTTCTTCTTCTCAGCTCAGAGCTGGTCATCCCCAATGTGGGTTTCCAGGAGCTAGAGTAAGTATATGGGGATGACCTTGGGTCACCAGGTCACTCTTTAGATTAAGAACCAGTGATGTGGGTCAGTTGTGGGGTCTGGGATGAATACTGGATCAATTCCAGGGTTAGAAGTCAGTCCCAGAATCAGGAGTCAATTCTGCAACTAGAAATGCCCCAGGTTAGGGGTCAGTCCTGGGATCAGTGGGGTTAGTCTCAGGATCAGAGGTCAGTTCTAGGGTCAGGGAAGTTAAGGGGTACCCAGAGATGTGTGACAGGTCCCAGACACCCTTGAGGGCTCTTCCTATCAGGCCTGGGGAGGCCCGGCTGGAGCGGCAGGCCGTGGCATTGGGCTGCAGGCTAGCTCGAGGCCTAGCTCAGCAGGACGATGAGGACAATGAGCTGGAGCTGGAGCTGGAGCTGGAAGATGAGCCTGATGTGGAGCTTTCTGGCATCGTGTTCAGTCCCCTCAAGAGGTAACTTGTACACCCTGCACACCTGCTGCCACACCCTACCAGTGTGTCAACCTCACTCGCTCAGACATGCAGGCCTAGTGTCCATCCATACTCACAAATTCTTGGTTCCAGGATATGGGTGAGGAATGGCTATCCTGGGGTTAATGGTCACTTACTCCTAGGCATAGACACTGCCACATAGATACACACAGTGACACTGACTTACATACTGCTTACGGGACCCAGGTAGGTGATGAAAACTTGATGAGGGCAAGACATTTTGTCTCTTTTTGTCACTGCAGTGTCCCAGTGCCTAGAAGAGTGTTGGCGCATAGGAGGCGCTCAGTAAATCTTTGTTGAATGAATGAATGGTTTTAGGGCTCCAGGAATGAATCAAATTCTGGGTGTTGAGATGGGGGCAAGACGAGATCAGAAGGACTCAAAGTCCTAAAGTCCAGAGGAAGAGGAGATCTATCTCAAGCATCAAACAGGACTGTAGGTATGGTGGTGGGAGGACACGAAGTGACACCTGATCATGTCCCTTCCCGCAGCCGAGCCCGGGGCCTATCCCGAAGGGATCCCTTCCAGGTGCCCAGGGCCCAGGACTTCCAGGTACTGCTCTCCCTGCAGGCCGTAACCCTTGGGAAACCACCTGCCCTCCACCACAGGAGGCTCCCCCCATCCTCCCCTTGGTAGGCTTCGCTTTCCTTTTCTCCTCCTCTGCACCCTTCAGGTGGGGGTCACTGTGCTGGAGGCCCAGAAGCTGGTGGGAGTCAACATTAACCCCTATGTGGCTGTGCGTGTTGGGGAGCAGTGCCGAGTGACCGCTACACAGCGCGGGACAAATTGCCCTTTCTACAATGAGGTGGGTGTGGCCAAGATGGAGGGAGGCCTAAGAGAATAGATGGGACCCAGAATAAAGAACTGTCTGCAGTGGGAGCATGGCCTAGGTCCTAGGCCCTAGGAGGTGGACTTGAGCCAAGTGCTAGGCCTAAAGGGTGCAAAGAGGAGCCATGGGACGGGGGTGTAGGTGTAAGTAGAGCATTTCCTTGCAAGAGGCAGAGCCCAGCTGGTGTGAACCTTTCCCCTATAACCTTCTCTCATTTTTCTTGTTTTCCCACTTCAACCCAGTACTTCTTGTTCGAATTTCATGAGACCCGACTTCACCTCCAAGATTTGCTGCTGGAGATTACGGTGAGGGGGATGGGGTGAGAGGTTTCTGTTAGACAAGGGGGGATGCCGAACCTCCAGGACTAACGCCACTTTCCTCAGGCTTTCCATTCGCAGACCCTCCCCTTTATGGCCACCCGAATCGGCACCTTCAGGATGGACTTGGGCATTATCTTCGATCAGCCAGGTACTGAACCCGGCCCTCATGGAAACTTATCTGCCAGGACAAGAAAGTGACCTGTCTGGGCACTGATCCGTGTCAGACAGCAATCGCTTCCGAGCGCTGACCTCCATGCACTCTTGTTCCTCCCTGCGGAGCGGGACATGAACCCCAGCCCTGTCTACCACTCGGATAAGCGCCCCACGTATCTCGCTTTTCTCCTTTGACCCCTGGCCCGCCCCTCCGCTCCCAGATGGCCACTTCTACCAGAAATGGGCTCCGCTGTATGACCCGCGGGACACTCGCGCCGGGACCAAAGGCTTCGTCAAGGTCACGCTGTCCTTGAGGGCGCGCGGTGATCTGCCTCCTCCGCCGCCACCCCTGGGCCCCGGGCACAGTTCAGACATCGAGAAGTGAGAGGGGTGATGTGCGAGGGAAGAGGAGGATGGGGCGGGGCCTCCGGGACGTGAAGGGGCGGAGATTCCGGCTTCTCAGCGGCCCGTCCCCTAGGAACCTGCTGCTGCCGCGCCGGGTGC